TGTGTCTCTGTGTGTCTCTGTGTGTCTCTGTGTGTCTCTGTGTGTCTCTGTGTGTTTCTGTGTGTCTCTGTGTGTCTCTGTGTGTCTCTGTGTGTCTCTGGGTGTCCCTGGGTGTCCCTGGGTGTCCCTGTGTGTCTCTGTGTGTCTCTGTGTGTCTCTGTGTGTCTCTGTGTGTCTCTGTGTGTCTCTGTGTGTCTCTGTGTGTCTCTGTGTGTCTCTGTGTGTCTCTGTGTGTCTCTGTGTGTCTCTGTGTGTCTCTGTGTGTCTATGTGTGTCTCTGTGTGTCTATGTGTGTCTCTGTGTGTCTCTGTGTGTCTCTGTGTGTCTCTGTGTGTCTCTGTGTGTCTCTGTGTGTCCTTGTGTGTCTCTGTGTGTCTCTGTGTGTCTCTGTGTGTCTCTGTGTGTCTCTGTGTGTCTCTGTGTGTCTCTGTGTGTCTCTGTGTGTCTCTGTGTGTCTCTGTGTGTCTATGTTTGTCTCTGTGTGTCTCTGTGTGTCTCTGTGTGTCTCTGTGTGTCTCTGTGTGTCTCTGTGTGTCTCTGTGTGTCTCTGTGTGTCTCTGTGTGTCTCTGTGTGCGCCTCTGTGTGCGCCTCTGTGTGCGCCTCTGTGTGCGCCTCTGTGTGCGCCTCTGTGTGTGCCTCTGTGTGTGTCTGTGTGTGTCTGTGTGTCTCTGTGTGTCTCTGTGTGTCTCTGTGTGCCTCTGTGTGCCTCTGTGTGCCTCTGTGTGCCTCTGTGTGTCTCTGTGTGTCTCTGTGTGTCTCTGTGTGTCTCTGTGTGTCTCTGTGTGTCTCTATGTGTCTCTGTGTGTCTCTGTGTGTCTCTGTGTGTCTCTGTGTGTCTCTGTGTGTCTCTGTGTGTCTCTGTGTGTCTCTGTGTGTCTCTGTGTGTCTCTGTGTGTCTCTGTGTGTCTCTGTGTGTCTCTGTGTGTCTCTGTGTGTCTCTGTGTGTCTCTGTGTGTCTCTGTGTGTCTCTGTGTGTCTCTGTGTCTCTGTCTCTGTGTGTCTCTGTGTGTCTCTGTGTGTCTCTGTGTGTCTCTGTGTGTCTCTGTGTGTCTCTGTGTGTCTCTGTGCATCTCTGTGTGTCTCTGTTTGTGTCTGTGTGTGTCTGTGTGTGTCTGTGTGTCTCTGTGTGTCTCTGTATGTCTCTGTGTGTCTCTGTGTGTCTCTGTGTGTCTCTGTGTGTCTCTGTGTGTCTCTGTGTGTCTCTGTGTGTCTCTGTGTGTCTCTGTGTGTCTCTGTGTGTCTCTGTGTGTCTCTGTGTGTCTCTGTGTGTCTCTGTGTGTGTCTGTGTGTGTCTGTGTGTGTCTGTGTGTGTCTGTGTGTGTCTGTGTGTGTCTGTGTGTGTCTGTGTGTGTCTGTGTGTGTCTGTGTGTGTCTGTGTGTGTCTCTGTGTGTGTCTCTGTGTGTGTCTCTGTGTGTGTCTCTGTGTGTGTCTCTGTGTGTGTCTCTGTGTGTGTCTCTGTGTGTGTGTGTGTGTGTCTCTGTGTGTGTCTGTGTGTGTCTCTGTGTGTGTCTCTGTGTGTGTGTCTGTGTGTGTGTCTGTGTGTGTGTCTGTGTGTGTGTCTGTGTGTGTGTGTCTCTGTGTGTGTCTGTGTGTGTCTGTGTGTGTCTGTGTGTGTCTGTGTGTGTCTGTGTGTGTCTGTGTGTGTCTGTGCGTGTCTGTGCGTGTAGTGTGTGTGTAGTGTGTGTGTGTGTAGTGTGTGTAGTGTGTGTAGTGTGTGTAGTGTGTCTAGTGTGTGCAGTGTGTGCAGTGTGTGCTGTGTGTGCAGCGTGTGCAGTGTGCGCAGTGTGCACAGTGCGCACAGTGTGCACAGTGTGCACAGTGTTCACAGTGTGCAGTGCGCAGCGCGCAGTGTGCAGTGTGCAGTGTGCAGCGCGCAGTGCGCAGCGCAGTGTGCAGCGCGCAGTGTGCAGTGTGCAGCGTGTAGTGTGCAGTGTGTTGCGTGTTGCCTGTTGCCTGTTGCCTGTTGCGTGGCGCGTGGTGCGTTTTGCGTGGTGCGTGGTGCGTGTTGCGTGGTGCGTGGTGCGTGGTGCGTGGTGTGTGGTGTGTGGTGTGTGGTGTGTGGTGTGTGTCTGTGTGTGTGTGTGTCTGTGTGTGCGTGTCTGTGTGTGTGTCTGTGTGTGTCTGTGTGTGTGTCTGTGTGTGTGTCTGTGTGTGTCTGTGTTTGTGTCTGTGTTTGTGTTTGTGTGTGTGTCTGTGTGTGTCTCTGTGTCTGCGGAGTAGCAGAATACCCTGCCACCACGTCTTCTTGAATTTCGCAGGGGGGCAAGGCCTCCAGTGATGAACCTTGCCCAACGAAGCTGCATCACTGGAGGGGCCTTGTGTACCTGCAACATTTGCGTGATTCTGAAAGTCTATTTGGCCCCTTGGTTGCGGCGCTGTTTGTGCTTCTTGTTCTGTCTGGTAACGTTTTCGTCACTAGAGGGAAGCCAAGTGCATCGCGAGCCGAAACTTCTCCTATACTCGAGACTCATCGGTTGCACTCGAAGGATTAGCGCCCTCCCTTGGGAGTTGAAGTGTGATCACCCCAACTTGGGGGACTCTCGGGCATGCCCATTGTGTGACCCCGGGCCGGTTCGCCGGAAAATTTGACCTCAACGTTCTTATCATAGTCCAGCGGAATCTGACGTTTAAGTAGTAACGAGGTTTCACTAAATGGAAGACAGCCACCTCTTCATAGCTACGTCTCACACACGCCTGGGCGCCGCTTGCCGATTCCTTTGGGCCTTGCGTTGTGTTGGTTTGTCGCTCTCATTCTTCCTCAAGGACGAGCTTCGCCATTCCCCTGGGTTTTGCTGTGTTGCCATGCCTCGCCGAGATGAACGTGACAGGTCCACAACTCGACGCAGACAGAAGCCCAACTCCTACCCGCAAATGTCGCAGACAAGGTGAATACGAAACAGCCAGCCGTGGAATTCGACGGCATTGGTTGGTCCAACCCGACGATGTGGCAACAGATCCGAGCACCAGCCTCTTCAGCTCCATGCCGCAGGCCAGCTACTTGCACCCTCCATCCGTACCCGCCCATGAACTACTTGATGCCGAATGCTGCGCCGTTCCCTCCAGAACCTGACCTGCCAAGGCTGTGAAGACACCGATGGTGACATTTTTTCACCGCTTGCTCCACCTCTACGTCACCCGGAACCAGCAGCAGCACCGATCCATCCGGCATCATTACCAGTGAAACCTAATCAACCATGGCTGCACCAGCAGAGTGGCAACCTGGCGATGGCATGCTGGACAAGAACCCCCTCTGCTCCTTCACGCTCCCTATGTCGGGCTTGGACAGTCGTGACGTTCGCCTGATCCAGGTCACACATGGAGGGCTTCTTCGACCGTTTGCCCATGGACGGTTTGTAACGTGGGAAGGGTTTCGCACGCGCGCGAAGCCCTA